GTATGTATGCCACGTCACCAACGCAACATACTAAATCTACGAACGCAACGCTGTAGTAACAGGAAAATCTGAACGCGATATCAGTCTTTTATTGAGGTTTATATTGCGACAGACCGGAGTGGAAGCGAATTTTTGTAACGATATTGTACATAGCATACGACACGACGTACAACTTTATGGCCAATTGTCCGCGGAATGTTTGAATTACATTGAAGAGGATGGAGAAGGCTTTGTGCAGCCACAAACTATCAATAAAGCTCTGAGCGGGTGCTCCACTGCTACGTCTGGCCTGTTTTGTTGTATACCGCGAGGCTTGGACTCTGAAAGCCGACACCCAGAGGCGTCTTGAGGCCTTCGAGATGTGGTGCTACGTAGAATGTTACGCATTAGCTGGACCCAGAAAGTTCCCAATGTGACAGTTCTTCAGCGCGTTGGGAGGGACCGAGAACTCTTTCAGACCGTCAAGAAAACGAAGTTGCGTATCTTGGACACGTTCTACGACATGAGAGTACCGACTTCTCCGACTGATAATTATGGGCAAGATCGAGGGTAAATGACGTACTTACGGAAGAAGTCGTGGTTGCGCAACATCCGGGAATGGACCAATATTGCCAGCGTAGAACATCTGTTACGCTTGGCTCAGGACAGGGAAGAGTTCTTCAAGCTGACGGCCAGCCTTCAGTAGCGGAGAGGCACTACATGGATGATGATGTCCGTGTCTATTTTGTATATTACACAATTGACCATAAAGTTCATTATGCTATGTGCAATATCGTTACAAAAATTCGCTTCCATTCGGTCCCGCCGCAACATAAATTGAGCCTTACTGTGCTCCGGATTTCAAGGGTCAGGCTGATGAAATGTGACTTGTCAACTAATGTTTCAGGGTGACGGGTGTAGTGGCAGTGCCCCTCAAATCTTTGTGATTTAAAGCACTGAGTGGCACTGCAACTGTTATCGACAGGCGTGTTGTTTTTACTACTTACCAGGCGCACGACTAATTCGTCCCGTCACTTAGTATGGTATTAAAAGAAAAAAAAAAATAGAACGGCATCGTGCTCAATGTGTTTGGAGCACGCAAGATAAGATGGTCCTAGAGTTGGTCCCACTTGACCGCAAGGAACATACACTAATAAAAATACACAAATGCAAATAACTCTAAAATCGTATATTATCAGAAAATTACGAATAAAATTTAACAAAATCGCATACCTCTAACACAAAAGAACATACATAGTATAATTTATTATGCTATTGTAGAAACACGGTTTACACGTTCATTTATAACCACTTTAAAGCTGCTCTTATATAATTAAAGAGGAAGTTTGGAGCATATAAAATATAAAAAAATACATGCACTTGCACTTTTAGTCGCAGTGTAGCAGTAGAGCTCCTTGTGAAAGAATTATTGCTGCACTACTGCCTTACCTATTTCTGCCGCCAAGCAGCAATAGTGCGTTCCTGTTTTGAAGATTACAATTACTTTGTATCTATTCAATATTTTCGACTCTCCAAAATTCTTAAGATAAATTTAGAATTTTTAATTGGCAGCCGGGATCATGGATTCAGGTCTATGAGTCGTATTCTAGAACTCTACTCGATGCTCAAGTCAGGATCTGAGTATGATTTTAAGCATTGGAAATACGGCCCTAATGGCAGGGACTTGAGTATGATTTCGAGTGCTTTAAACCATACTCAAATCCTGACTTGAGCATTGAGTAGAGTTCTAGAATACGAGTTTATGAACCGAACGTATCGTATCGAATAGATTCGCTTATTATTTTTATATTACAAACAATGATCTTGTATACGTAAAAAATGATTACGAAACAAATCACACATGACCAACCGTCACGTAATTGTTGTAGGAAATCCGAGCAGTCTCGATATTAAAATGAATTAAGTTTTTAAAAACATTTCGACATTACTTTGAATACTGGGGTCGATTTGGGTAAACGCAAGTTAAACTAATTTTAGGTCCAGTGTACATCTTTTTCATCATCAGTTAGAAAAGGACAGGAAATGTAGTTTCAGGCACCACGCACACTTGTGTCTTGTGTTGGATACAAGCAACTGGCAACTAGAAGCTAATATTTTCATACACATTGCGGTTGCTTTGAAAACGTTGTCACGCACTGCTGGCACTGCTTAAGCATGTCCTTTAGATTGTAAGTGGCCTCCGCGGCCTCCACACATCTTGCTTGAGTTTAAAGTTCAAAATTCAAAATGAAATAGAAGTGGTAATAAATCAGATTTTATGAAAAATGTATTAAAGTTTTTTTGTGATCTTTGAAATGTTTAACACACACATTGACTTACAATTATATGGACGTCGGGTCCGCGCTAAAAAGTGTCCGCACTTGTAAGGCGCTAAAATCGTATACAGAGCGCGACACTCCGCTTTAGTCTTCATTTGTTCTACGGACAGCGCAGATACTGCGATGACATTACAATTTAAATTTCGAATAGGTTGACTTGGGACATTTTTTTCGTGGTTTTTGTATTAGACCCGTCGTCCATTTATTTGTAAGTCAATGAACACACAAGAGATTTTTGGTAACTGGTGAATTTGTCAAAATTAGACAAGCAGGAGTGCTCGCTTCAGCGATAAAGCAGAAAGTGACGACGGAACGATATAAAGTGAGAATGTCGAGGCAATGGAATTAGAGAATGATTCAAAATTTGAAAATAAGTGGCCAGGTACCAGAGCAACGGTGATAAAAAGGCGGGATGACGGCTGAGGTGGTCGCATCGTCACAGCTTCAACCTGCAACAGTGTCCGACTGCCGCAACCGTCTACTGTGTCTGGTTGCCGCAATCGGTGATTGTGTTGGATTTCATATCAATTGTACATACAACTTGTATAAAAATAGAATATTCACTTCTAGTTACCACTTGTTTGTATTCAACACAAGACACGTTTGTGTGGCGCCATAGCGGACGATTTTATATTAATTGTATTAAAATAGAGTAATCACAAGTTACCGGTTGCTTGTATACGACACAAAACACTAAAGTGACCATATTTGCGCAGCGCTTTACTTTAGGTCTGTATAGTTAGACGACATGAATTTGAATTACAAGTAAATTTGTAAAGCGGAAGAGAGAGGTGCATTTTGAACTAAATTTAGTTTAGCTTGTGTTTGTCCGAATCACCGACTCTAAATATTTAATATCACATCAACTATGCTGGGTTTAATTAACAAATAAAATTTCGGTAGTACATACAAATCATCATATTAGTACATTTCCTTTAAACAAAAAATTAAGAGATTCCAAAGTTCAGTATGTATTTCATAAGTTTAACAAAGCCATAAGCTACTAGGCTGCATATACAGCGTAATTTATTCTAAAAAATGTTAAGTGTAAAATAATTTTCAATTTACATCGCCGCGGAAGGGAAGCGTCAATTTCGCACAACAAGCCGCGCGCAGTCGCTGGACTGCTCGAGCATTTGCGAGCTTTCTCGCAACTGCGCCTTGAGGCTGTAGTATTTCGTCAAAGTTTGATGTGACACAGTGCGTGCCTTCGCGCCACTACCCGCGGAACCGCCAAGCGTCGCAAGCATCTGCGAGAATTCGCTGGAAAACGCGCGACTTATTTTTTGGCTCGTATCTAGTTTGTACGTTACACAATTGACAGAATGTTTATTTTGCTAAGTACAATTTTGTTATAAAAAATCACTTCCTACCTACCTAACACGTGTTTCATATCATTACAATTCGATTTTTTAACTTTCATAAATTTTCATTTTTTTTTGTCACACATGGTTGAATACGCTGTTCTGTCGATTTGTAAACAAAGACTATTTTTTCGGATTTTAATAGTATATTTCCAACAACTCAACGTTTGATTGTCAATGAACCGTGATCATTGGTTTATGGTTTTAAGAGGTTTCGTATCAGTGTTATCGAGTATATAACTAAAAGTAGAAACGAAATAAGGACCATCCATCCCTGGCAACTCATCAGGCGAATGAGGCTTATATAACTTTTAAACGTCAACTCTCGTTTGCACTGAAACCACATTTTAGAAAGCGGAAACAGTACAGCGCCAACAACTGACTTGCGTGTACGTCTCCGTATATTCCAAAATATTCGGTAAAGTAGGAAATATCTCTAACTATGGGGGTGTTCCATTCGGTGGTGTGGTAAAAACAGCAAAACATCTAATTACAAAACAAACGGAATCACATTTCATAGGTAATTAAATATGTAATTTTGCAATTATCGTCAATTATAGCAAACCTCAAGTTAAACTGATCGATTTGAAGTTAAACAATTGACGACACCCGTTAATTGTTTCGAATTCGGGCTGGTCAATCGGAGCGCAGTTGTCACCGTAGTGATTTGGCAGAATAGTTTGCAAACAAAATAAATGATATTTCATCTCTATTTCTGGTTATACTCGATGATTTCAGTAATCGTCTAAATATGGTAATTACCTACCCGCACGCTTCAGCACTTATCGGCACCGCGTTCTTACTAAATGAGTTTCACACGGTGCCCACACAACTGACCCATAACAATAGGACAATTTGTGACTTCACCCCTTTCACATTATGCATCAGCACTACGTTCATTTTAAACAGTTTTATACGAGGTGGTTGCGTATTGAGTGGACCCTTTATAAAACTCGTATAGCATGAACTGTCAAGAAATTATCCAATTATAATACTATCTATCTAATTGGTTTCTTGACGCTGTGATTTGAATAGAAATTGACGTGTTTCTGCTTTTGATATTTCGCTTACAAATTCATATGGCGAACGGCTATGGTGTGGTACTCGCTGCCTGCAGACTTGTTCCCTGAACGGTATAACTTGTACCTTTTCAAGTCGAGAGTGAATAGGCATTATTAGGTGTGCATGCGCCATTGTCGACCTCATCGTCACATTCCATAAGGTGAGATGGAGGTGAAATGCGCACTTGTTTTTATAAAAATAATATATATAATAAAATAATAAATTAAGGCATCTGCGGTTACACCACTTGCGCTGATAGCCTTAATTTATGTCTAGACAAAAACCCAATAATAAAATATTTTTCGAAGTGCAAACTTGTCACTAATATTTTTCATAGGGTATATATAATTTATAACTTATGAAGTATTACATCGATTACTTCTCAAATCTTCCAATTGTACATACAACATATGAGTTCAGTATTGTCGTTAAAATTTACTTAATTTCCTTTTTAAATCAAACTGACATCTTGCTTGACGATGAGAACTTCCTTTTGCAGATTGCCAGAGCCAATGGTGCAGTTTGGCTTAATTTCTAATCCCTCCACGCTGAAAAAAAAAGTGTAACTGTATAGTCAGCAAAGGGGAAACACATCGTAAACTTTCATTCCCCATATGGCCTTATTGCCGCTTTGATCGCCGAGTGAAGACTTCAATTACATATTTTTACATAGTGCATAGTTTATTTTGCATTGATTTTTGTTGAAGCAAAACTTCTAAGCCTCTGCTTTGCAAGCTTGCGCGTGCACCGTGCGTGTACCGTGCGTGCAGCGCGAGCGCAGCGCATTCGCCAGATCTGTTGACCCTTACCAATTTGCCTCGTTTTGCTCCTTAATCTGTTTATAGTACCAAATTTAGCAATTTTTTACTTAACACCCTTTATTGACCGATGAGATTTCAATCAATTGTTGAGCGTGTTAACACAAAGCAGGATGCGTGCTTCAAATGTCTTGCTTTTTCAATAAGTTTAAAGCATGTTTTGTTATGATTATGAAACACAAAGATCGAACACACAGAAAAATTTTCGTCGCCCCGGTCGGACTTGAACCGATGGTTACAGCAATGCTACGATGCAGCACGGACGTGGTGCATTAGCGTTGCTCTAACCATCTGAGCCACGGGTCCAGTTACCGAGGCGCCGAAATTCTCCTATGTGTTCTTGTTATAGATCTTTGTATGGACTTTCAGGAGTTTGTTGCCGCTAGTGACATCTAGTGAGAGATTTTTGAATAAACTCGTTTTTCTTCGTCGACCCGTAGCTTGATTTTGATTGCCTCGCCCGATCAGAAACTGTGTCTTTTCCGAGTTGAGGCGCATAATTGCGATTCACAACTGGCCGAACGGAAACTTTTGACATTTGTAATCGGAATATTAGTTGATTTAACTCACAAATCAGAAAGATATAGTAGGAATTAGGTTCATCTTCTCGCTCAGAAACCCATCTGATTTTGAGACTACGCGGTCGGATCGATTCCGGTTTGAATCAAAATCAGGACGCAGGTACAGGCCAGTTTCTGATCGGGCGAGGCAATCAAAATCAAGCTACGGGTCGACAAAGAAAAAATAAACAAAAAAAAAGAAGAACATTTTTCTGTGTGTTCGATATTTGTATTCACAATCTTTACAAAACTAGTGAAGTTGTTTCACAAAAAATCTCAATAAATACATTAAAAGCATGTTCTTACCTGTTTTTATCGGCGACGTCACTGTCCACTTCGCACCGTATACATTGCTCGGCACACGCGGATATATTCGTTTTATTTAGCGTCACTTTGGAACCACTATACAGTTGTATGCCGACACTGCAGTTTTTTAACGTGCAATTCCTTAGCTCCACCTTTGAAAATAACAACAACTATATTATAATTTAATTATAGAACACTATTTCTAAAATCTTTTGAACAGCCACTAAGTCAGGCATAAATGGATGGATTCATATTTTATTTAATTATTCTTTATTTTATTATTCATTAAAAATCTATCAAAATAGATTTTTTAACTGAACTATGGAGTGGAAAGGTGATCACTACACAAATCCGGAATGTGACCGCATTGACGCCTTGGAGATATGATGTTGGAAGAAAATGTTGCGAATCCGTTGGACATATTTTCGCACTAACGACTCAATTCTGCGGGAGCTTAACGTCCAGACCAGACCTATCCACCTTGTCTACATAGGATACCTGATTTCTTTGGTCACATTGCCAGGAAAGAAGGGCACAACCTCCACAACGAACAGTTAAGACGGTAAATGTCCGAGGAGTCGCTGTTCCACAAGATGATCCGTCCAAGTTCGTACGGCTCTCAGCATGGGCTTCCATGACGCACTCCGCTATGCCAAAGACCGCCACAGATGGCACAGCGTCGTCATGTAAAATTATACCCGCGTGGGAGACACGACTCTCAGTAATGAGGAATGCTAGGCGAGGAGGAGTAAAAAAATATAATTTTATCTTTAATATATAAATGAATTACCTGTGCCCCTTTATATACGACAATACCGGAATAGAAGTTGTCGAACGTTGAGTCCTCTATGAGAATGTTCGCTCCAGGCTTCGCCACGATACCTTGAGCAAAATCCACCTGAAGTTCAACAATTAAAATAAAACTTTATTGAAAATCACTAAACGCCGGATGTGCATTAAAATGTACTAAATACAATTACACATTTCAGGGCCAAGCAAATATGCTCTCTGTTTTGTATGTAAATATATTTTTCCAGATACCCTATGATCATATACAATACATAACGCTAAAGAACAATGGCGATACTCCCATACAAATTTTTGTGGAGCAGTTGGTTTACTTCTGTCTGTATATGAAAAATATGTAAAAATACAGATTTAAATTCTTGAACAAATTTAGTTTTGGATTTTATTCTGACAAGTCTAGAATTCAAGACATTTCAATTTAAAGGTTGTGTTTTACATAATTGGATAAAATATATTAAATTAAATTAAAATATATAAATTTCGGTGAGGTAAATTTGTTTTTTTTTTTTCTATCGTGAAAATTTTTTGGAATCGTGTTTTCACACCATATAGTGTCTCAGTGTATATACTCTATTTGATTATATATAATTTCCTAAGCGATTGATTCAACACTTCCATAGGCCTTATATAATTTGGAAAACCTAATGAATTTATTTTAATCAAATTTAATATGATATTTGAAGACGCTAAAGAATTCTTTTAAAAATTGTATTTTTTAAAAGAATTCTTTTTAATACGAAATATAAGTAGTCAGTTTTTTCTTAGTAATATTATTCAAATATTGACCATCAGCTAAAACTATTTTGTGAAGTTTGACAAATATGCGTGTCGCCTCGGTCGCCGAACGGTTACCATGCCGGACTGCCACGCAGAGGTCCCAGGTTCGATTCCCGGGCCGGGAGAAATGTTTGTATGGCTTACATTTATTTCTCTCGTGAGTTTGAGTGTAATTTGTGGTTGTCTATGTGTGTGTTCATGGCACCCGCGACACAGGGTTTCCCTAGTGCGGGGCTATGTTGAGTGTGTGCGTTATTTATTATTTATTTATTATTTATAAAATAAAGTACCGAAAACAGTTTTAAGAAACTTAAACCTAACCTAACCGAACCTAATCGTGTCTTTGCGATAAACATCCAACATATCCTGAAAGAACAACGATTGCGTTATAATTCGGTTTTCGGTGATTACACCGAATTTTCATTAGAAAATTCGAACAAACGTTATTTCGGAACAAAATTCGAGTACAGAGTACGAAAAAAATCGAGCTCAAAAGTTCGTGGAATAACATCTATTTGCCAAGTTTTATTGGAATCGGTTACCGGAAAATGCACGAAATCGGATTCATCCCCTAGATTGCCACCCTTAGAGGAGGAATATTTTCTTCAAATTTAAATTGGATGAATACTGAGGTAACCTCTTTCCAACAAAAAAGAAACTAAAGTCGGTTCACAAATACCGGAGTTATCGCGTAACATACATAAAAAAAAACAGTCAAATTTAGAACCTCCTCCTTTTTTAAACTCGGTTAAAAATCAATACCTTAAAAGAGTATCAATTATACTTTTAACTGTCTCCGTGGCCGAACGGTTGCCATGTTGGTCTGCCACGCAGAGGTCCCGGGTTAGATTCCCGGACAGGGGGAAATGTTTGCATGGTCTACGTTTATCTGTCTCGTGAGATTAGGTGTAATTTTTAATAGTCTATGTGTCCATTGCACACAGGGTTTCCGTAGTGCGGGGTTATGAGTATGTGGGTAAAAATAAACACAAAACTTTCCCTCCGTGTCCTATATAGTTGGGACAGCCTGTATGTATATAAAGTACCTGTGAACTGTAAGAGTCGTTGCGCAGCACACATCGACGGACTGTGAGTGTGCCTGTGCTCATGTGCACGACGGTGTTGACGTTGCTGCAGTGCAGCGTCAGCTCACGCAAGGAGCAAATCTCGCTCAGTATTAGCAGGCAGGAACGCATGTCTGGGGCTTTTAGCGACGTCCCTGAAAAATAACGATATTAAATGAATACATGTTATTATTATTGACCGACTAGACTGAAACCAGTGTCAGTTGTCATGCCGGGACCACTGCTATTAACCAACTGAAATTTGTAATTTTTAAGTTTATTAAATATCATGATGTTTGACCACCACGATATTATTTACTATTTTTAATTGATTATGATATTTTTTTTTGTGAAATTACTCCACCAGTTTCTAATAATTATTAACACTAAAAAAAAATTGTTTGTTGTTAGTGTCTTTTGTTTTTGTCTCTTTTAAGTTGAGAATTACAATAATTAAAGCGACACCTTTAGTCAACTGATAAAAGCTGTAAACATTGACTTACAAATAAATGGACGACGGGTCTAATACAAAAACCACGAAAAAAATGTCCCAAGTCAACCTATTCGAAATTTAAATTGTAATGTCATCGCAGTATCGCGCTGTCAGTCGAACAAATGAAGACTAAAGCGGAGTTTGGCGCTCTGTATACGATTTTAGCGCCTTACAAGTGCGGACACTTTTTAGCGCGGACCCGACGTCCATATAATTGTAAGTCAATGGCTATAAAGGTCTGACCAGAGTGAAGAAAAGCTTTCATACAGTTCTCATAGATGGCGCTACGGCAAAAAAGCTAAAAACCAAATACAAACATCTGCAACAAGCACATAGAAAAAATATAAGAACGCTAGTTCGTTCCGTAGCTTAGTTGGCATAGCGTCTTTGCACAGTTTGCTGGAAGATGTTGGTACGAGTCCAGCCAGATCGTAGGAATTTTTTCCGAGTTTTCGATCTTTGTATTAATAATTATTCTGAAATTTCTTGACGGCTTTCAATTGGGTTTAATCGGCTTTGTTCGTCGTCTTTTGTTGCCATCGTAATAATTTTTTAATGTAATATAAATATGTAATAATAATAACAAACTCGCTCTACGTGCATTAGTTCAAGTAAATTCAGTCTATTCCGATCTTTGTCGAAAACAGTATAAGTGATTACCTTTAAAACCAGTAATAGAAATTTGCGACAATGGCATCTCCGGGATCTCATATTCCTTGCTGCACACCAGCAACTCCTCTGGTTCTAAAGACAGCGCTTCTTCGGCTGAGACGGTCACCGTCAACGTGTGCTCACTCGTCAGATGTGTGCGGAGGTATTTCGAGATGTCGTCAAACTCAAAAATAGATCCTCCGCGCCAAAGAGCTACAACCTGGAATAAAAATTTGCTGGATAATTTATACCAATGATTTGGTCTCAAATGTAGGAATTCCTTGTACCACTCATGTCTAATATGGCTTTGTCTATTTATCTATCATTTTTGGAAATACAAAAAATTTGACTTCTCAAATGTAGAACTGTTGTCGCAGGTTTGTATAAATCAAAATTGTTGTAGCTGATGTAGGTTTGTATAAGTTGATATTATTGAAGCTGATACAGATTAATAGAAGTCTATATTGTTGTAGGTTTTAAAAAGTCGATATAATTGTAGCTGGTGGAGATTAGTACAAGTAGAAATTGTTAAATGATGCAGTTTTGTATAAGTAAGAATTATTGTAGCTGATGGAGATTTGAAAAAGTTGAATTGTTATAGCTAGCTACATATAGCTAGATACAGGTTAGTAAAGTCTAAATTGTTGCAGCTGATGTAGGTTTACATAAGTCGGAATTACTTGTAGCCACTGGACAATAGTAGGAGTCGAAATTGTTGTAACTGACACAGGTTTGTAGAAATTGTTGTAGCTGATAGAGGTTTGTAGAAGTATTCAATAATTTTTTTTATAATAAAAATTTCAAAAAAAAATATTATGTTTACTAAATTTCAAGCAAAACCTGATCCTGAACTGCTCTAAATTTACTCACATTTCTCTTACTCTTGTTCTTCTGCCACTTCTTCTTGGCTTTAGCGAGGTATTGTTTTCGAATGAGTGATTTTTCGTAAAGTGTCCACTGCGACATGTGGCTGTCCAGACGCGCCGTCAGCTCTGCGCATAGGATTATGTAGTTCGGAGGTAACATTGAGTCTGAAAAAACATAACAAACATGTGGCTTTTAGCTAATTGGTAATTTCTAGGCATACATTGTCATTTCAACAACAATTTGTTGATTTGGAATAATGCAACGCAATAATGGCGCATTTACATCGAGTTGTCAGACGATCTTCGTACGAGTTACCTGGTGTAAATAGTGAGTCGTCTGACGACGGTAGTTTGTTGTCAAAGTCGACCAAAGCGACTGGGTGCATCTACTTCGGCTATGTGAAGTAGTTGGTCTAGATGCGTCATGATACTTCCTTTACTTAATAAAATAATAACAACATGAAAAAATGTAATGGATATATATCTTATAAAGAGAGATTATTCAGGAGATATCAAAACTTTCCATTTATTTTAGATTTCTTATCAAGGGTGTTAATTTGGATGCATTACTTTAGAATATATAATAATTTCCATTAGAATAGGTAAAAGCCAGTCTGTGAATATGAAGGAAATGTGATGTGAAATTTGCCTGCAAATTTGTATATACAATGCATTTTTTGCATTTCAGTTACTTTGTTATTTAAGATACGAGTTTGAGAAAGTAAGGCGACGATATGTCTTAGTGTGTAAATGTAAGTACTTAAAAGTAATGTATATGACACATAAATAAGTAATATACCTACATGAAGCAACTAATACAATCTCAAAAAATGTTAGAGCATTCCTTTTGATTTTCCAACAGAAGAGCCTTAAGCTTGCGTTTAGAAGTGTTCCTGCTGGAAATGTTACAAAGAGGAGAGGGGAAGATCATTCTAACACTTGGATGACGCAAACCTGAAACTGCCTTAGAAAGCTGCTATGCGATGAGCAGGAACTATAAAACCTTGTGCTTGAAGCAGCTCTAAGACCAACCAAGCTTACGATTGAGGTACCTGGGTGTCTCAGTTTGTATGATCGTACATGTCTGTTCTTCATTTAGATCGTAAACAGTATGGTTCTCTTACAATAAATTTAGTGTACATCACGCACTCAGAGAGTTGGTCGTTTTAATTACCTCTGTCTGTCACCTTATCATATTATCAATATCACGAACAAATATCATAGACCATCATCATTCTTATCAATTATCATTATATCAGTGATTGTAGAAAAAATCCTACGTGGTTCTCACTACACTGAACAGGAACACAGAGGGATGTTGCTGACAACGAGCTTGTCATGTTTAACAAATTTACAGCATTGAAATATTGATGTGGAACCTAGGAAGCTAGAAGATACATAGAAGTAGAAGAAGGATGATATTATTATAAAGCACCTGACAGCAAAAGCACTTCACACACAATCCATAATAATCTGCTCGACTATTAGAGCCTGATTCTATTTAATATGGAATGTCCTTTGCTTTTAAATTGTATATAAAAAGATATCCACCAAGCTTACCATCCTCATCAGCCATGTCCTCCTCGCACAGCGACGAATCCAGCGCCCTCAATCTCTCATAAGCATTAATAGCACTATTCCTCAGTAATTTAATGTTTCTAGCAACACAATTTGGAATGGTCCCATTATGCAGATCTAACCACAGTTCCATGCGGTCTTCAATTGTGTCAGAGAGAAATACTTTGTCATCTTGATCATCCCATGGCATCCATAAATTGTTGTAAAAGAATCTGAAATTGTTATACAACCTCATACAAAAGAGATAATATGTTAAGTGGTGATTTATCATATACTGCACAAACTGCAAAAAAATTAAAAAAGATTCATACTAAATGTTCACCCATGTACCAAAATTAATGGGATAGTGGACTTTTTTGCAATTTCAGGAGGTTTCCCAATATATATATATATATACATATATATTGGGATATATATATTTTTAAATTCAGAACCATTCTACAAAATATTGTGAATGATACAATGGGTAACATTTGCATAAAGGGTGATATTTTATCATTCATATCTTACACATGAATAATCTTCGCTAAGATGAATGTATTAGTCAAATCCAGTTTAAGAACACTATTTATCTACTGTTCACAAAAAATCATTCAATTCAATGGATTATAAAAACAATAAGAACAATTGCTCACCGCATCAAATCTATAAACTCCGCAGTTGTAACAGCATTAATACACTCTTCCCTTTGCTCAATCGTTGGCCATAGCTCTATCAATGGTACATCTTCAACGGCTTCTGGCAGAGAGATTGTCTCATGCTGTACAGTCAGAACCTCGACATGTGCTGCTAGCTGGTCAAAGTCCACTGACGTTATTGTCACGTAGGCTATGCAGGGGAATCTTACCTCTATAACAGGAAAATAAAAAAATTACTTTTTTATGATGCAAACATATTCAATCAACATAATTATATCGGATAAAAAGGATGGACAGGCGAAGTACAAAGCCGCATTGGACTCTGTTGAAGCATTTACCTAACACTATATAAGCTATCCCAAATTTTTTAGGTGTAAGAAGGTGACCCTTTCTCTCAAAGGTGTATTAGCAGTGTCTTCAGTTGGTAATGATTGCGAAAACTTGTGGATGGAACGTGTTTTGTTGGTTAACACATTGGACGACGAAGAAATCATGCAGACATGGGGTGTATTATGATAAGGCGAAAAAAATGGCGACGGGATATCACGTAAGCCACAGAATGACCCAGAAGACTGCTATCCGAAAGCCAGGCCATCAGAAGGCTAGATGCATTGAGTATAAAACCAGAAATAGAGACAAAATGTCATTTAAATCGTTTGAAAGGTTTTGATGCCAAATCAAACTGCGCTCCGATTGGCCAGCTCAAATTCGAAACAATTGATGGATGTCGTCAATTGTTTCACTTCAAATCGACCAGTTTAACTTGAGTGTTGCTATAATGGACGAAAATTGCAAAATTACATATTTAATTACCAATGAAATGTGATTCTGTTTGTTTTGTAATTAGATGTTTTACTGTTTTTCCTACACCAATGAATAGAATAGCCCCTGTTGTTAGAGATATTATCTTTATTACAATAAATGCAGAATATTTTTGGAAAATACGACAATGTACACACAGGTCAGTTGTTGACACTGTACTAAACTAAATTTGTGATTTCAGTGCAAACAAAAGTTGATAAAAGTGATATAAGGCCCATTTGAACTACCTCCGTGGCCGAACGGTTACCATGCCGGACTGCCACGCAGAGGTCCCAGGTTCGATTCCCGGGCCGGGACAAATACTTGTATGGCCTACATTTATTTCTCTCGTGAGTTTGGGTGTAATTTGTGGTTGTCTATGTGTGTGTCCATGGCACCCGCGACACAGGGTTTCCCTAGTGCGGGGCTATGTTGATTGTGAGCGTTATTATTTACCTGATGAGTTGTCAGGGATGGATGGCCCTTATGTTGTTTCTATTTCTGGTTACGTACTTGATGGCTAGATGGGACAATATAGTCAAGGTAGGCGGAGAGGCGAAGCGTCGCGACGCGTCATGTTTTTCGCCTATAGCATGTTCATCTCTATTTTCCCATCATTAAGGTACAAATTTGTGTTATGCAAATATAGAATCGCGCATCGACGTCTGATGACGCGCACCTTCACGTGTCGACGCTTGGTTAAAGTGGAAAGGTTAGATGTGAAAGGGTTTGCACAGGATGCGTTACTTGCGCGCAGTGACGCGTCAGATGCGTCTGACCACACTATGATTCGGGCGCGCTAATGTGTTGTAGTTCAAAAACAGGATGCGACGCATCGATTCTGCGCCAGTGTGAGTTGAGCCAAAAAGTACGATGTAAATAGCCCGAACCAGAAAGAATGGCATGCAAATGAGGTCTACACTACACACTACAATTTAACACAATCTGAAGCACTGTCATGTGTGAGTCTGTAGCATATACAAAAGAACCCACTCAACTAATGAATCCATAACCAAGATTAGACTGTGACGCTGGTTTTCAGTGGACCATAATACTTAAAGCTTATATGGTATGCGCGTTCTTGCGTTTTATATGCAAATACTGATAGCAGTGATAAAGTCCTTATTAATACAATGATGATGCCATTTTCTCTTGTCTCTTGCCATGTGAAAGTATGGCCAGGCCCAATAACTTTAGCTACCATTGTCTGGCCTTGGAAGTGCATAAATGAACGGCCACACTGATACTGAAGCATTATAAGACTTACCAAACTTTTTACAAAAATCTTTAGATAGTTTCCATAAAGCATCCCAACCCACTGGTTCTACAAGCATTTCAGCCTGCAAGCACCATTGTTCCCGCGCGGTGCCGCTGCCAGAGCTGAACACGCGCTGGAGTTGCTGCAGCAGCTCTTCATTAGTGCGGTTAAAAGTGTATACTGTAGGCATCTGACAAGAGAACATGAAAACAAATTTAAAGTTTTTATGTTGTTAAGAGTACTTTTCCATTATGTAATTTTGAATAATTTATAAAAACAGGCAGAAGACCCGACTGCTTTAAAGGATTGATAGTTTGAGTACTAAATTTTATTGGATTTTGAAAAATACAGACAAAATAAGACCGCTCGAAATATTTACACTGAGTCATACTATTCGGAATATGAAAATCAATGATATCACAAGTTTACAATAAAATTTAAAGTTACTTACCTTTCAGAGATAATTCTCTGATGATAATGTAAAGAATAATAAGGTTTTTACTAAGGAATACAAATATTTTTTAGAACATTTAGCCGCCACCGGACGGTTCTATTTCGAAAATTTGAAGTGACGTTAGTCTTTTTTTTTTTTTTTTTTCTTTTTTGGGACGTTAGTCTTTCTTTTTATTGGCCCTATATAACGTTAAGCTATTTCTGAAAAAAAAAAAAAAAAATTAAAGTGATTTCGTATGTATGTTCTTCAGAATATTTATAATGAACTTGTGATTTGTTTTAAGTATTTTCTTGTATATTATAAAATATTTCTAGTATAAAGAATTTAAATTTACACTTGTTAAACGAAACGCATTTTCAAGGTCAAACAAACCGGGAAACTTTAAAAAGGCAGATATTCCAAACGACGACAAACAAAACGAATTATCATATTATGTTCACTCCAACGTAACTAATATAATTGCTGCTAAACAACTTTTAACCTTTTGGTCAAGGAAAACTATAATAATGGCAGTGTAAACAATAATTGTCGTGCACCTACCAACTTGTTTGTTTGCCCTCCACTGAGGCAGGGTTGTAAGGATAATAGAGCAAGGATAATGGCGGTACAAATGATTATTAGCAGTGTAAATTGGTACAATAAGTAACTCCGTATACTATTAATAGTATATTATTCATCATCGCGTCATTTAAAACCGTTCAACGTCATTTGCAACCGTTCAACGGCCACTCCTGTTAGTACGACCTCTTTCATATGTATGGGTAAAATCAACGAGTGAGGCTACAGGGTTATTATAAACCTTAGAATAATAACGCATAGAAACCTAGCCCGCACACGCTAAGTGAGGCAAATTGAAGCGCTCCCAAAGGGCCTACACGAGCGGGCGGGCCTTCGGTGCTCAAGGTCAACTTGCACCGCGAACAGATCAAGAATTTTAGCTAAAAATGACGAAATGTGCGGTAAATGAGAGTAAAAATATGTCAGACAAACATAAAATAGATACTAACATCATATTCCACAAGGAAGTAACGCGTTCCAACTTGTATTTTTATATAAATATTCACTAAAACCGAAAATTAACCTACTACTAAAACTAGCCTACATGAATTTGATTTTTGCCTCACTTGTGACAGTTCGTTTGATAATATGAAACTAGCATCCTATGCGTTATTATTCTAAGTTATATACTAACAAATCCATGATCTGGAAGTTTGGTTTTGACGCCTTAGCTTGTCCCAAAGGATGAAAAATTTTAGTAATAATGCTTCTACTATAAAATCCTTTAGGCCCAAAAATCCTCAAAAATCCTAAAACATTACATGACAGACATAGATTTAGTGGGTACAATCTATGATGACAGACATAAATATTTACGTATGTCTTTTGTCTAATGCGGAGTCTTTTGGTAATCGCCAAAAATAAATCTAAGCAAATAAAATAAAAATTAATAGAAACATTTTTTAAATTTTTTTATTGAGCTTTGGCTACAAGACATCCATCAGTTAAAATCTAAATGATCAAGGAATGGACCAATCTAAATTACTTAAATTGATCAACTGAATCTAAGCACTACGAATAATAACAATAAAGAAAAATAAGATAATATTTATTTATACAGGGCCAAAAGTATCAGAATTGAAAATAACGTTATACTTTAAATGGTTTTAAGTATTTTGAAAATATTTTGGCAAATTGTAAAATTATCTACAGTTAATAATAATATAAATATTACCTAGAAGTAATAAAAATAATTATTGATAAGTAATTAAAATACTATTTTTGGTAAGTGTTTTTTATTTTTCAGTTAGGTTTTTACCTGTAAGTCTAGTTGGAAGAAATTTGTTTATGGTATAAGCTGGCCTTTTAGGTACTAATATTTTAAGTTGTTGTTAACATTGCATGATTAGTTATTGTGATGCAATAAAGTGTTTATTTACATACTTATATACACTAAGGCGGTCACAACCTATTCCTTGACTACTTAAATTTTAAAGTTAAATTTTCTTTACGTTAAATAAGTAGCAGTTATTATTATTTATTATTAGTAGGGAGGGTTTATTCAGGGCCTACGCAGGCACTTCACTGTGACCACTGATTGGTATATTATGTATATTGTGATCACCCCTAATTACGTACAACTCGAAGCCAAGACCAACAGTAATAAAATTATCTTTACTATTAGTAAAGAATGGAATCGTAAAACGCCATTTTCGTTCTCATTACATGGATTCACGAATTTTTGTGACGCGTTTAATGAGAATCCGTATCGATAAGTGTGGCGACTCCCTTAACGCATGTACCACGCCAAGGTCGTGTAACCATTAAGAGGGAGCAGAGGAAAAATTCCTAATCTTCGATTTGATTTTGATTTCACATTAAAGTTAAAAAGAAAATATTGTATGAGTAACTACACGATATATTCAAACATAGACATTAATCACAAACATAAAACAATAAAGTTTCCTCGATAGATAAAAATCACGAAATGACCACTAATTTTCACATTTTTTCGATTTGTCCTCGAAATGCTACAGGCTATTAGGACAAAAGTTTGATAATTAATTATATTTATGCATGATCGACAACTGTCGCTACGGATTTTTTTTAAATCCCTTTACTTTTAGAGTTATTCCGCTAAAACCAATTTGGTACTTTTAATGCGCAAAATTCAACATCTCCTGTCGCATGTCACGCGAACTTCAGGCATATATTTGTTTCACAAATTTGGGCGGAGCCAACGTCAAAACTTTTTTGGCATGAGAGCTCTTAAGGGTAATTTTACAATAAAAATTTAATAAATACAATAAAAACTGCCTCAGTGGCCGAACGGTTACCATGCTGCACTGCCACGCAGAGGTCCCAAGTTCGATTTCCGAACCGCGAGAATTATTTGTATGGCCTACATTTATTTCTCTCGTGACTTTGGGTGTAATTAGTGGTTGCCTATGTGTGTGTCCATGGCACCCGCGACACAGAGTTTCCCTAGTGCGGGGCTATGTTGAGTGTGTGCGTTATTATTATTATTATTATTATATTATTAATTTATTTTTCGCCTTAAGAGCCTACGCACACAGCGTATTTTATACACGCGAGTATACGCGCCTCAAACGCACTGTAGTCGCGCGTACGTATCGCGCATTTTGATAAGAGATAGTTTTAGTTATAGTTTTGTTTGTTAATTTATGTTAGTTCTTGAAATGAAGTAACTGCATGAAATTCTAAGTGTAAACTCCAGTGAAGCATATAGGCGTCTTGCTTGCAACGCGATGTTCAGTCAATACTTATAAACTATCATTACAGGATTTTACCTAATGCGATAGTAAGCTACATAATTATGAAATATCTGCCTATTACTAAACTAATCTATATATTTTCATAACATATTACAAACAAAGTTACCATTGTGAGTTCACTCAAAGAACAAAAGAACATGTCTACGTTAATTGACCACCAAATTGAGAACGCGAAGCGCGTGTGTCAACGGTGCCTTGTTCAACAGGTTGGTCCTCCCGCGCGGTCCGTCGCGGACGCTACACGTATCCGTCCGGAACACACATGCCTATTTGCTTTAAAAGGTCTGGATTGGAAATCATTTCTCTAAAAAGGTAAAAATATAGGATACTAGTGCAAGTTATCGCCTTACTTTAAGTGTGTTATAGCCCACCATCCCTAAAACAAATATGCTTAATCGATTCTCTATAGTGCGTCTGCGGCACGTATACACGCATATAACTCGCGTTCGTGAAACGCGCGTCATCCGCGCGTGTAAAATACACTGTGTGCATAGGCTCTAATAGATAATAAGAGAATTGCCAGGGTGGAGTATATAAATGAAAAAAAAATCTTATATAATATTAAGTTTATTCAATATCTCGATATTTTACTACCATGATATTCAATTATTCTTGTGTAATTACTCCACTAGTTTGTTATAATTATTGATACAACGATCGAACACAAAGAAA